AACATATGGGAGGTTGTATACGAGACCAGTTAGAAGTGTCATACGATTATTACAGTTACGTCTATGAGATAATACAGGGAATGCGCCTCCTTACAGGTGGGATTATTGCTTAGAGCCTCAGCATGAAAACAAGTACTGACATTGAAAAACATGTTGAGGCAAATGCGCTCATTCACTCAAGACCTCACCTGTGTGACCTACGAAACAAGGAACCTGCTGCAAGTACAGCCGGGACGAGGCGGACGACGCGAAGCATTTAAAATACGGGAACTATACTTCTAGCTGGTTTGAATCCTAGATGAGGTACTTTTCATCACTGCTAAGTCGCATGAACCTCCAAGTACCGAGGCCGGAGCTGCTGACTCCCTGCGGTCGTGCCGTGTGGCTTCACCTTGCATGTCCCACAGAGGGCTTCTAGCGGAAACCCCAATGTAGACCACTGGCTCCCTTTCTGTACAGGTCTTCATAATCGGATCCCTACTAGACTCCTCATTAAGGACAGGGATTTCTTAATGTCCACAATAATCATACGATCGGTGAAGCCTCCACCAGGGGTGTGCGCGTCGCCCGCATCGCAAAGTCCAACAGAGCCCACCTGGGAAGATTGCTATCAAGGCGCGACTGGTAGCTCTTTCCAGAGCTGCAACTGTTGACGCAAAAGCACTTTCCGTGGTATATGAAATGAGTTGCACGGTGTCCTGCCGTTTCTAACCCCGAAGCCTCAACCCCATTAACTCCAAAAATTTTGGGATCGGGCTCTCCATCCAGCGCCGGGTGGAAGGATATTGCGCCTAAGCACAGCTCCCTCCGGCTCACTGCAGGGCATCCAACCGGGCTGCAACCGCGATAGAACAAGATGGAGACGTCGGTGAAGCTGGCAGTCTCAATGCTCTGCCTCTGCGGCGAGAAACACTAAGCCCCCGGCGAAGTGCTTCGGTGTGCGCCAGAAACGTCGGCCTGGCACGGGGGGTCAATGGAAAGTTGTGCACATCACCAACAGCGGAGGCCATGCACGACGGAATAAATCTAAACCCCTACAGGCAAATCCCAATATCTGACTAAGTATACAGATTCAGTGTGTTGTACACTAGCGCAAACTCACGCAAGCAGCGCGGCAGCGTATCACAGAGCTTGCAGGGGCCGTCTTTCGTCTCCTTAGCCAATGCAAGATGCAGGCGAGCACGCTCGCTTCGAAGACATGAGAGACATAGCCAAGCCATTCCACGACCTCAACCTGTACGAACCCTCGAAAAGCGGTTACAAGAGGCAAAACTATGCACTGACTGGCGGAGACGACAACCGGCATCTGACTTTGTCTATTCAAGAAACCCACTCGCTTCGAAGATTGGGCTCTTTGCAAGCCGAACGTCTGCCTCTTCTTCGTGAAACCAGTTGCCCCTGGCACGCAGCACTGGCGTGATTTGCTTGAATCGGCGTATCAGGATTAGTTCGTGGTTAGTTCGTGCGAGGTGTAGCTCTGTCGCTCGGCTTTGGCTGTTGTGTCATTTATGCTGCATCATGAGCCTCAATTTCAGTGACACTGCGCATCACTGGCTAGCAGGATTGGCCAACCTCCACACCTCTAACCTTTCGGGGACAGGGGCTTCGAGCCAGCGCCTGATCGAGGAAGCAGATGCCTCATCGAAGATGACACCTGCAGCAGCCCTTCAAGATTTTAGGGACCCTGCACCCCAAACAAACAACTATATATGTATATATATATATATAAAAATATATAAAGAATGTGTGTATATATGTAAAGGGTTCAATAATAATATCAATGTGTAGAAGTGTGTGTGTGTGTGTGCGTATATATATATATATATATATTTATTTATTTATTTATTTCTTATTTATTTACTTAATGTAATCAGGCCCCAAAACCAAGTGAGGCGATCCAGGGTCTGAGGCTTTCTGGCTCCCAAGTGCCCGGCTATGCTCATACTCGCTTCGAAAGCGGAGGTGATAGTGCCTTTGCAGGTTGGCTTTAGGGGTTTAGGCTTTAGGGTTTAGGGTCTAGGGTTTAGGGTCTAAGGTTTAGGGTTTAGGGTCTAGGGGTTAGGGTCTAGGGTTTGGAGGATTAGGGCTTAGGCTTTCGGACTCTGGGTTTCAAGTCTTTACCTTCGCGTCCAGGATTGAAGGCTGAAGCAATTTCATGTAAGGGGCTTTAATAATTAGAATAGGGTTTCAGGGCCCATTATACTATAAGGAACCCCCCATAGTCCCCGAAATGCTTTGGATCAGTTGCCCATTCGCAGCTGGTCTATCCTGCTGCACAGCACATTCCTGAGTACTCACGCGAGTCTCAATATCGGTATAAGGTTTCTTTAATAGAAAAGTATACATACATACGTACATGCATAAAAGCTTGCACAAACACACATGCATTGTATGCATGCCGGTATGTGTATATTGATTTCCAACTGTCATCTTGTGATGCTGCCACAGAAGCCGACGAACTTGCACATGATCACCAAGGCAGGGAAACACAACAAACCTCTTCGAGCATCGCAAGTGCAGCAGACACAGGCCAAACCAAAAGTAACCGGTAATTAGCCAACCTGAAGCCTCCAACATCCAACCACAAACCCCCAAGCAGAATTGGCAAAACCGCCGAGCTCCTGTTAAAAAAGCAGATGAGAAGCATGAGGCGGCGCAACCCAGATAGTCCGAAATATACTAGCAGGAAACTCAGTGGCAACAGCCGCTTTGAAAAACTCGTAAAGTACCTCCTGCCCAATCCGAGCCGAGAGTGCAACCCTCAACTGGAGGTTTAGGGTCTGTTATAGGGTGCTTCGACATTGGAGAACCCGGCAGCACCAACAAGTTAGAACCTTAAATACATCCAGACCAAAGCAGTGACTCCTGACCCCCCCCGGGCCCGGTCAACAGGCTAGGCCTCAAATCAAGCCGATAGCAGAAGTCGGAATAGACCTGTTCAAGCGTTTTAGATGGTTGCGAGCGTGTGCTGCGCCGGAACTCACCAGCTTCTTGGGGTGTTAAAGCTGCAGGAAACGCGGGACGTAGCTTGTAAGCTAGGAGCTGAAGTTTTATGCCTTTTGCCTCGACTTGGAGCCTTCTCTGGTTTAGCTCGATGACAACCCTAAACCCCTAAACGCCAAATTCACGGTTTAGGGTTTGTAGGGCTACCGCCAAATACTTAAGGCTGCACAATCGATCATCTCTGGCCTTGTCCGCACCTTGGCAAGCAGGACTAACTATCAGGGTCCCCAGGCTTGGCGGGCGAGACAACATTGACTGCCAAACTGCTACAGTATCTGGGGTCGAAGCTCCCGATCTCGAGACAGCTTCAGGATGATAACGTGGGTCAAAAGAAACATGGGCCACTCAGCCAGGTCTCACTTCTGCAAGGCATCACATGTAAAAAAACATTTACAAGTAGCGTCTAAGCTAGGCTACGGAATTGTCATCCAGAGCATGCGTCGACCGTATTGAACAACATCTGCAACCAATGCTGATCTTGACATCGTCATGAATGCAACATCAACATGAAAGCGCCAGGAAATTCAGCCACAAGACGAAAATGAAATCCAAGATATGAAGGCAGGAAGAAGAACAAGGCCAGGCCAAGGAACATTATAGCACATAAACATAAACATGAACAGGCCAAGCGGCCAACATCCGCCAAAGAATTAAGTAGCAAGCAGAGGTGCAATAAGTTATTGCCATTGGATAATTGATTAAGAAACCCTGGGTCTTTATTGGGGCTCTATATGAATGCGAATATCTGGGGTTCTAGGACTAAGGTTTCTAAATCAGGCTCCTACATTAGGACAAAGGGAACGATGCCGCCGAGCATCTCAAGACGGGCCCCGAAGCGGCCAAGACCTTCCCAGCCACGGAAACTCCCGCACCCGAAGTAGCCCTAGATGTGGGGTTCAGCGTTCAGTTTTGGACGCTTTGAGTGCCGGACGATGGTTCAGGGCGCCTTTCTTGGCATGGCGTATTAGGGTTTAGAGCTCGGGGTGATGATGGTGATGCTGCGACGGAGATGCTGGTGGTCACGGCAGTGCCGAAGGTGGGCAAACTCATTAGCTGGTGCCGATGACGAAGATGATAATCTCAGGGTTTAGGGTTTAGGGTTTCGCCATGATGCAGATGAAGTTCATAGGAGGTGCCCAGTCCACGATCGACGAGAGATACTGGAAGACACACAAAGAGTTAGGGTTTAGGGTTTAGGGAAACACAAAGAGCCAGACTCAGACTGGACCAAAGCCTGGAGATGAGGGTTAAGCGCAGGGGTTTTCGGGTTTGGATCAGGTCCACACTTACACAGATCAATGGCAATCGTGTGGTTGCCTGGGGAGTCCGGCTGTTGCTGAAACCTTAAGCTCCAAACCCTCAACCTCGAAACCTGAGCCGTCAACCCTGCGCCCCAAACGTACACTACTAAGCCCAAAGCTCCACGTCCACAACCTGAAGCGGATTTTTGACAGGACCCTTATGAGGCGACCGAGATCTTTAGCCCCCCAAAACCCTAAACCCTAAACCCAAAACCCCTCAACCCAAAACCGTTAAACGTTAAACCCTAAACCCCAAACCCAGAACCCTAAACCCAAAACCCCTCAACCCAAAACCGTTAAACGTTAAACCCTAAACCCAAAACCC